AATTTAGTAGCCTATCGATCGCCTTTTTAGTTTGCGTGATAAATTAAGTCGAAGTAAAACGGTCCGAAGTTTCTGCAACCGTAACGACGAGCCAAAATAAATGGCTTCCTCTCCGAAATTTTAGTTTTATCTTTAAAGATACATTATATAGAAAGAGAGAATTAATGCTCTGTCTGGAACGTGACATCTTATATTAAAAAATAACTCTGGCACTTTTCGTATTAGAAAAACGAAGGAGTAGAAGAAGAAAACTGACTTTTGAGTGATATCCGCTGGCTTTAATTATTAAAGAAGAAAATATTTAGGGAAAATTTAATTAAATCTTAAACCTCGCAGAATTGGTTTAGTTTTTCGATCGCTTCTAATATTTTCTTAAGAAAATTAATTTTGAAAATTGGAACAAACTGTTTTCTTCGTATTTTTGATTGAAAGCATTCCAGTCAATCATTCTCTTATTACAGTTTTCATTTAAGAAAGGAAGAGAATTATTTTCCCTTCGAATTCTTGGAGTTTTAAAAGTTGTTTATATGTTTATTTTCTATTTTATATAACATTAGATTTTTAAATTAAACGTAATTTTCCCTATAAAACGTATATTGCACTGGCTTAATTAGTTTCTGACGGAATTGGCAAAGCTTAAATTCGAATAAAAATCGATCTGATCAAATGTGGACTTATACGATTTGTTATTTTTGGAGGGGGGAAAGAATGGAAAAATATATTAACGTAAGGAAATAATTAACATTAATACTGAGTTCGCTGTTAATTAGTTAATCTCTGCTATCACACCTAAAATTATCTTAGAGACAGTGCCAATAACTTAAAATATTAGTAAAATGGCTTAATAAATAATTTGTAATCAGAAATTCTTGACTTTACGATTAAAATTTATGTAAATATTATATAAATTTAATTATTAAATAGTAATACAACACATCCGCGAAGAAAGGAAAGTTTAGTAATTAAACTTATTGGCATTTTTAGGATAATTTACATTACGATTTCCATTAAATTTACTCGTCGTCCACCGAAAATGATTCAATCGGAACATAATGAACTTAATATTTGTAAAAATAAATCGATAATATACGCAATTGTCGAAAGTTTACGCACCGTTTAAAGTCGACGATACCCGAATTGCAAAAGCATTATTCTGAGAAAGGAATTTATTGGAGATGGAAAAGTTAAGACGTCGTTAAGGAAAAGTCGCGGGGTCGTATATTCATTGGAGAATCCATTTGACATCGGTAGTACGCGTTTATTCTAACGATGCCCATGAGATTAGGATCTGTTAAATCAATAATAGTCGAAGCGTAGGCCGTTCTTGTTTTTATACCGGGAATCGGGCCGGTGTCTGTCTTCCACCCCCCAGGAAAACTTATTAAATTTCCTAATTATTTCGACAAATAAACAGCAAGAAAAAAAAATTGATGAATTGGATGGCAAAATTGTTCTTTGTCTTTCCTGTTATTGACTAATTCCGACTCGTGAAATAAAACGCGCAAAGAAAACACGGATCCATCCAGTTGAGAAGCGACTCCGATTGGTTCTTCCACTTTCCAATCATGGTAGCAGCCACCCTCCAATCGATGTTGCTTTTAGAAAGAAAATATCGTTGTTGCGATTGTGATAAAGGTTTTTTTTTTTTTCTTTTTTTTTCCTCGCCCGATTCCAACTACCTTTGCAACTTTTCATGCATGTTTGATGCATATCGCTTCTTTAAATCGATGTTGATATATCAAATACCACCTATAATGGGAGACGATATCGAGAAAATACGTACTCTAGATATTTGGAAAGTTCAGTCCCACGTTAGAAATGGCAATAGGTTCACACAACGCGTTACAGTTATTGCCGTGAATATCTAAGCCGCGGGCGTGAAGAAGTTCCTTCTATACCCTCACGATTTTTGGAAGATTAGCCTGCCGCTATTTTCTTCTATAAATAAGACTATAAAGTGAATTTATGGTCGTTTTATGTGGAAATTATGCGCCGAATTAATGTCCTACGAAACGCGCGCATCTTTTTTTTTTCTTGTTTTTCTTTTTTTACTTCCTTCTCTTAATAAATTCCGTGTTTGGATAGATTAGGGTGATGATACGTGCGCGGAAAAGAAAGCGATATTGCATCCCTGCCTAGTCTGGTCGGTAGTAACAATAAAAAAAAGCCCCGTAATTGGCTAGATCCTTCGTTAGAGGTCTGGTGAAGTGGCAACGAGGTACAGAGCTTAATGAATTGGTTGTCGTGGTTATTTAATGTAAGAATGTGGACATACATACGGCCCGACTCACAAATGACTCTATGGAGTCCTCATCGACGGTATACTATGTAGGACGATAGCTTTTTCCCTACTCAGTGTTTGGATTGAAGTCCTTAATGAATAATCCTCGTGTAGAGTAGAAATTTCAAAAATTTCGTTAGAACTTCGGTCGGAAAAATGTCTAATTATCCGTTTCCATTCGTGTCTAACGCAGTTTGTATCCGGAAATTAAAACCCGGAGATGTTTTGTAGGATTACACGCCGGTTGCTCTTATTTCCCGTTATTTGCGAGCAGAAAAACAAGTATAGCAAACAAGACTACAACCACAATGGGGTTAGGAGGAAAATCAGAGTACTGGCTAACTTGAGTAGCGATTTTATCCAATTGCTATCGTTGCAGTTATTGATCTAATAACCATCTCATAACCATCGTTAGTCTTGTCGTCCTTTACTATTGATTGTTTCTTATAGCGGGACAAGTAACAAAGACGCTTTTCGACGCGATTTTCTGCAACTCAACATGTTCGTGACAGGTCCGTCCTTCCCTCCTCCTCCAAAACTCTCCAACGCACGTAATTCCGGAAAAAAAATCAATATACGTCACGGATATAATGCCATGTAAAATGTATTTTTATTAAGAGGAGAGAAACTTTTATCTCTAAGTAAATAGTAAATTCGGGGAGAGGGATTATATTAAAATAAGAAAATAGAAATTGAACGGGGAGGTGCGAATCTCTTAGGTGTTAGCCCGTGCCCGAAGAAGATGATATTCGACCCCCTCTCCGACCGAGTGGTTTTGTCGGTAAGATGTGATTGAACATAGTTTTGAATCCCAGACGATATCTATTTTGCCAATATTTCGATGAATAGTAGTGTCAAGTGAGCGGGTGATGAATGAGAAACAGAAAGTCACTCCCACGGCACCGATTGGGAAAATACTGTCGGAGATTAATGGTGGCTTTCTGTGACATCCGTCCTCTCTTAAACGTCCCTTAGGACTCGAAAGCGCAGCATTGGTCATCTCGACATGACGTCGTCACGTACAGAGACTGAATCTCTGATCGAGTTATTCGTCAGACAATAAATATGACGTCTCCATCCACTCCGACTCTTTTTAACTCGTTAAACGTGCTTCTCCGGAGATTTCACCCCGGCTCTCGTCTTTTTAAATCCCTCGTATTTTTAGAATATTCACCATAATTACAATTTTAAAAACCTTTCCGGTAGAAAAAAAAAAGGCAACGGGAATGTGTCGTTTGGAGGTTAACTGTGCCGCCGGCCACCCTGATATACCGCGGCGGCGGCCAACGGGGCATTCCGGGGCACCTCTCTCCGTTTGACCTTTGACCTTCGGAGGTGGCGGCGGGCTAAACTGACCGGCGGTCGTCGACCGGGCGAAGAGCCGCGGCGTGAAATATTTACTTCGCCTTCTCTCACTTAACGGCGAAAAGTGTAAATTTATGTACCGCACACTCCCGGCTGCTATTTGACCACGACCTCCGGTCGGCCATCAATCTTCACACCTGGAGGGCCAGCCATCGATCGATGGAGGATGGAGAGTGCGTTTTGCACTCCCGTTTAATGTGATAGATCTCCCATTGACAGGCGGGTCGGTCGGACGAATTTAATTCTCCACAGTCAGTCCGCGGAGGGAACCGTCCATCTATCCTCATTCGGTCCGTTTCTGCACTCTCGACTGCGACTCCTACCATTTTTCATATCCACTTTCTCTGCAAATGCTTCTGCCAGACAGCTTCCTTTTACAAGATTACAGCAAATATAATTCCTGGCCCGACCTTTTATACCGCCGATTTCTTACGCACTTAAACATTTCTCCGTCCCCGACCGGGCCTTTATTAAATCGTCCCTCCACGCGCCCGCCTCTCGTCCCCCCGGATTCCAAATTCGTAAAAGTCGGATTTACTTCCTTTCCGGTTATTCGGCGCCATTGGAAGCGGGAGGACCGGACGCCCCCTCCAAATGCTCGGGTGGTAGGTCGCCCTTTGCTCCCGTCGTCCGAGGTAATCGTCTTTCTTCCATCGTCCGGCGAGGCCGGATTGGTCGCCCGGCGGCACGTGACGCCCGCCGTACCCCCGGGGGAACCCGATGAAAACGGTTCCTACTTTTGTCCCGGTTCCGTCATTCAATGGGTGGTAAGCGACACGTCCCGAGCCGTTCGGGTGCCGGGTCCTAAGAACGCGCAGGCGCCGGGAATGAATCACCTCCATACACCGGAGAAGTTGGTCTATATATTTGCTGCATTCTTTTGGTGGCCGCCGTGGGTTTTCATCCATTCTTCTGTGTCCGTCCTTCTCCCCCGCGCCGTGGGACGGGCCCCTCGACCAGATGGCGGTGTCGGGTCGTGGCCGCTATTCAATTTCCTTTTTAGTCGGCCCCGGCGACTTCCGGGATGATACATTGCACCGTCGGATTGTGACTGCCGTCTCCTCCCTCTTCCCCAAACGTATTTATTCTTAATTTTCTCTCCGCTGCCGATTTCTTCTCTTTTTTTCCGGTAAAAATCACCGTTATTTTCCACGCCAGAGACTAATAAATAATAAAAGTTTACCGTTTAACGCGTCGGTTTTATTTAAAACCACGATTAGAGTTAAGTATAAGGATGAAGACTCGGGGGGGGTCTTTCCACGCGCGACCGCTACTGTCGGAGGCGAAATTCCCAAAAATTCTGACTCCAGTCGTTTTTATTTTTATTTTTTTTTTTTTGTGTGTGTGTATTTAGATGCGGGGATGAACGGTGACCTGTCGAACGACACCCAAGACAGTACAACTAGTCACGGTTCCACCGACATCATCCAGGATGGTGACAGCATGGATTCCGACAAAGTCCTCAACCTGGTAAGTTCCGTCCTCCACCCGGAAGTCCGCGGATTATATTATAATAAGTGCATTCCGGTTTTTCGGATTATCGTCGGCATTCGTCTTTTAACTCGGCAAAACCTGGTCTTTCTTCTTTCGTATTTACAATCGCATTTTTTAAAATACATTTTGCCAGTAATTTAAAATTTCGTGAAAAATAATGATTCCGAACGTAAGAATCCGGCGCGAGGAGGAAAAATTCGGATTTATATTTATATTTAATTAGCCAGACGAAGTTTTTTTTTTTAGCAAAATTAAAAACTAGGTTAATTTCAGGGGTGTTTCTCAGAAAATAAATAAAATCCACCCTCCCAAACTTTTATTAACGACGTCATCTCGTCTTTCTGTTTATAATTTAAATCGACGATTCGCATTAAAACATCCTTCGGTGTTTAAGGGGTCATTTCTGTTCGAACAGAATGGATTACGTCTCGATTTTTAAGCAATTTCTCCCTTAGATTAACGCAGATTTTTCCTCCTGTTCCCGGAGAAAATACGAAATTAATAAAAAATTTATTTAAAACAAAGACTCGTCGGGTAAGACAAATCGGCGGATTTTCAGACTGGAATTCGCTTTGAAAAAAAGTCGTTTCGATTTAAAGAATCTAAATGGAATTAGAAAAAGCGGAGGAAAAGGCCGAGAGGCCAATCCGGGGTTCCGGAGTAGGCCTTATACCGGGTGGTCCAGCAAATCCCGTTTTTAACAAATCTTAGACTTTTTTTTCTTTTTTAATTAGGAAAACGAGAAGAAAGCGCCGAAGATTCGGCTGCCTTTCTGGCCTTCTTTGGCGTTTTCCTAGACTGGTTGCAAAAGGCAAACCTTCCTTCCCGGACGGGAGGTTTTCCTTTCGCGTTTCTCGCGAAAGGGTACCGAGAAGACGTTGCAATTAACGGGTGTGTTTTTTTTTCCTTCGGTGGCGGTTTGGCAGGCAATGGACGACGAACCCATCGACGCCACCATCAACTCCAGTCACGGCAAGTGTCGGACGACACCCAACGGACAGGCAGTGGTTACGTCGTCCGCTTCTTCGGGCCACGCTTCGCACCACGTCTCGGGGGGAGCGGGCAGCGGTTCCTTGACGCTACCGCCATCTGCCATCGTGACCACCACGGCGGCGGCCTTGGCGGCCGCCGCCGCCGCCGGTCAGTTGTCGTTGAATCAGGTACGAACCTCTTCTCCGTCTCGCTTCTGTTCGGATCTCGTTTGGTGAAACGCCCCTTCACCTCCGGCCCCCTCGGCGCCCCACTTCCTCCCGTTCGGACCCGGACGACCTCGACCCCGCGGTAACTCGTTTATCGTCTCGTTACCGCTCCGTAAATTCGTTTACCACCGATATTTACCGCGGTCTACTTGGGGGGGGGAAGAAATGTTCCGCCTCCGCCGCCGCCGATTTCCTTCGCCTGTATTTATTCCCTCCCCGGAAGAATTAAATATTCGCCTCGTTCCGCCAAATTGCATGGTTTTCCGTAAGTATTCCGTTCTTAACTTTCTTCCTTCGGACGGGAAATTGGCGCGTGGCGGTTAAAATTCCATTTTCCGTTGCTTATTTCGATAAAGTTTCGTTAAAAAGCGTGCATTAAATGCCAGGAATCGGATTTGCTCTCTTTTCCCGCCGACGTTACTATTTTAAATGCGAAAATCTCCCGGAATTTTTGCATTTAAAATCGGACCGACCACGAATATCCACCATCGTTCGAGTAAATAATGCGCCAAACGATTATTCTAACGGATATTAAATTCGCTCTCCGCAAATTTACCCGCAGCGAATTTAATTGACGATTATTCTAATGCATTTTCTTTAATTCGTTTCCGAGAGAATTTTTCCGAGTTGGAAATCCGAAACATTTGGGTTTCCGGAAATATATTCCGTCAGAATCTTTTTTACAAACATTTTTCCGGATTTTTTTTTCTTTTTTGGAATTCCAGATTCTGTTTACGTTTTTACAGGTTTTCTTCCAAAGAATTCCGCCTATATATTCACCTATATATTCGCCTATATATTCGCTAGAAGGAAAAACAATGCCAAATTCTATGTTTCTTATTTTTTTCCGAATAATGTAATGGAAACTGCATGTGACGGACAGTCGGAGGAAGATATATATATAAATTCATAAAATGTCGACGTCCTCCTCCGTATTATCGAGAAACGAATGTCAAAAAGAAGAGTTTCTAATCAAATAAGAATTTCCGCCACGGAATAAAAAAGGAAGAAGGGGATTGGAGTTCGCACTCGGCCGTCGAAAATTACCATTACTGTTTTGGTTTTGGAAGTCGGCCAGAATTGTTGATGGCAATTTTCCATTCGTCCGCATTGTCTCCTTTTCTCCCTATACTGTTGCTTATCCTTTAACAGTCTATTAGCATTTCTTTTCGGTTATAATCCATCGTTCTCTCCATTCGTCTCTGCGGGAATTCGTCCTTTAAAATATTGAAGCACGCGTTTTCACTCGAAATCACTCCTTCGTTTCGTCTCCTCTTCGAACTTTAGCAATTAACGAGCGGTGTCGACGATTTTTCTAATGTTTTAGAATCGCGCGGAATGGAGAACCCCGTCCATTTTCCTTGAAGGAGTGGCGCTGGCGGGAAGGAAGAATCTAAGAATTAAAACTTATTGCAGGAACCCTTTTTTTTAACTGTGGGTCGAAGAAGGAGAGTGTTTACGAGAATAAAAAGAATTTATGGCCGTCGTAATGCCTTTTATCCGCATTACCATTTCATTTTATGGATATTTCGATTACTTCTTATTGTTTTATCCGAGAATATTTGTTCCCTTCGGTCGAAACGCTTTATTACGAGAGGAGAGTATAATTATTTCCGACGCACTACTCGTAAAAGATACGATTTTATTACGAGAACATAACGAACGGAGTCCGCCGGCAACCCCGAAGAAACGAGAGTAGAAAATTTCTACTAAATGTTAATCCAATTGATTCTACAAAACCTTTACCGTGTCGTTTGGAGTGTCGACTCGACTCTTCTAATATACCTGTTAGCTTTGACTTTATAAAAAAGTGCCGGGACTGATGAATCTGCAATAGAACTTCTACCCCGGAGAAGTACCAAAGACCGAAATGGAAACTGTGGATCTTTCTGAATTTGCAAAATTGAACACCTAGGACTTGGATAAAAGTGCATAATATTTACTTTTTCGCTCCATCACGCACGAAAGAGATCCTTCCGTCCTTTGCAATCTGTTCCGTAATAGTAAAGAATCCGGAAACTTTGGAGCATTTCGATTTAAAATTCGAAAACGAAATTTTATCGTTAGAATCAAAATTGATATTTTAGGACTAAAGAAATATAAGTTATAAAGGGGGGAAAGAAAAACTAAGTTAAAAAATCTACGATAAAAGGTTTGCCGGAGAAACTGAACTTTCGGAAAGGGAAGCTCCACTAAAAAACTGCAAGTAGATAAAAAGAAAAGGAGTAATACAGTTACCGGTTTAAATTTCCGGATTGACATTTTCCTTCTCTCTGGTGGATCTTTGTTACAAATTGTGACCTGTTTCGTGATGCGTCCAAATCGAGGTGACGCGAGATTCCTCTCCAAAAACGTGACGCTTCCCTTGTTTTTATACTTTTGCTTTTTTCTTTTTGTTTTTTTATTTCTTTCCTCTCTTCTTTCTTAGCTACAGAAGATATTGCGCATCATTCGGCTAAAAGTCTTCGCGTCAGATAAAAACTGTGAGATCCAGTTCGCAGATTTTTCGGGCAGAACTCTGCAAATCAATCACTCTTAAAAACTGTATCGTTGGAAGAACCGGAGGGGAAGAAAAAAAAAGAAGAGAAGACACGAAACTTTTATTTCGGAATTACTCGATTAGAAAATTCTTAATAGAGGCAGCCAGAAACGAGTTCATTCTCTTGTGAAAAGGAGTATCAATTAAATTAATTGGAGTTAAAATGCGCTTCTCAATAGATGTAATAACTGTAAAGGAATTAGTCGGTTTGAAAATTGCAAATGTCGGCACCGGTAACCGAATTACGCTTCTCGTAAAATTCCTTTTTTTTTTTTTTATTATTTTTAGTGCCTTTTAGGAAGCCGAATTGGACTAAGTAACCCGGAGAGTTCTACTCTTTTTGGAAAATTACAGAAAGCAAATATTGACCGGACTTAAATTCGGAAAATGTTGGCGGTCACCTTTTATTTATTATCATCAGTCTAAGTGCGGCACCTGTAAAAATCTCATTTCCGATAGATGGATTAGGAGAAGGAAGAGAACCGAAGAGCGATCAATTGATAGAGAAGCAATTTTAAAACTTATATTCTTTCTAGAAGAAAAATAATAAAATGTCTAGACGGATCCGTAACGAATGAAGAAAAATAAAATTCTAGTTACACGCTTCCACCTTTCTCTTCTCTTAATTTATTTGCGATGTCTCGTGGGCTCTTTAAAGTGTATTAAAATCTCCCGGAAACGTGGAAAACTCGACGTCCATCGGAAAAAAAGAAAGAAGATTCGAACTTCTTATAGCTTTTGCAAGGGAAGAATTGGTGTTGCCGCCTCTAATGGCGGGCCGTATATTTTTAAACTTAATGTTTTGACACGTCGTCAAAAAAGTAAATGACGACGTTTAAGGTTTAACATTCAACTTACAAATGAAAAATTAAATTCCGTTTGTATCATTGGCAAGGAGCCAGGCCTTTACCTCCAAATCTCCTTCGTTTCTTCGACTATTCGTCGTTTTAAAATCGCGATCGGATCAAAATTAGTTTCGACGGAGAAAACTACAATTGAAGAGTGTAGATTACGTTGTATATTTTTTCCCTCTCCCCTCTCTCTCCTTCAAATTCATTTTTTTTTTTTCCGAAATTTCCAAACAGAAATTTTATTAAATCCGCCGGAGAATCGCAACGTGTTTAGAAATTCTTCTTCGGAATGAAGTTGTGAATTTTTGTTGTTAAAACGCGGCAGCGTTACATCGAAACAGTTTTTTTTTTCATGTATATTTTCTCGATTTGTTTTTTATTTGGAATAGGGCCAAAGACGTTATTTAGAGATATTAGTTAATTACTAGTCTACGGAAAAGAAAAAAAAACAGCTCGAATTTCATTTCCTGGTAGGTGAAATCCTGTTATTGTGAAACGAAAAAAAAAAAAAAAAGTGAAAAATATCTTAATTTATAATAGCGCCCCATTTTTTTTAATTATAAGATACAAATTAAGATATATTAAACTGAATTTTGATGCATTTTTATAAACGTTATAATTTGTTTTAAAATGGAAATTCGAAAGTTTCTCTTAGAGAATTTACAAAGATAACAATTTGTTAGGAAATAGTTTAACGAAAATAAAAGAAAAAAAAATACGAGGGGGAAGTTATATTACTAAGATGTGTAGAAATGCTGTCGTTAATCGAAAAAACGGTTGAAGAGGAGTATTTAAAAATTTAAGTTTTATGTAGCACGGTATCGTCTCTCTAATCAGCCACCGGTCCTTTTGTAAAGTGCAATTGGAAAGATTGCTCCTATATGAATGAGGGTTACGAGAAATATATTTACAAATGAAAATATCCGACCGAAAAACAAAAACAATAAAAAAAAAAGGAATCTTAATTATATATATATTGCTGGTTTCTCTTCAAATTCGCTTTATGCCACTCCATTTTTTTAAAATTCCGGAAAATCTGGAAATGGAAACCTGTTTTACGCATGGAAATTCATTTTGTAATTAAACGAAAATAATGAAAATTAACTCCATTCGACTGCGACGGAATAAATTTGTTTTAACTCAACTTTTTTTTTCCTAACACAATTAACGCTAGTTAATTACAAAATGTATAATGTGATGTGTTAGAGTGCAGTTTTTACTTTCGAAACCCGCGATCGTTGCGGTCTGGCTTCCCGTTAATTCTAGAATCAACGTTTCTAGTTTTCTCTTTTACATTTACTTTCGAATTAAAACTACGGAATTAACCATTTAATTCTTTTTATATTTTGAAATAATAATTATTTATCCCTTCCGAGCGTTTGCCATCGTTTACTCGAACTCGCCTAGAGTCTAAGGCTTTGCCTACGTTAATTTCTTTGCGGATGGTTCGTCCTGGCGGTATATTTCGCGTGCGATTAAAGATCAGAAAATCGATTTCTATTAAAATAAAGTTTGCATAAAATATTACGTCGAAATACGTTGTAAATAATGTATTGAATCGTGACCGAATTTTCGCATACGTTATTAAAAATATATTAAAAAAAAAAAAAAAAAACTTGTTCGGTTCGAGTCGTAATCATCCTCGTGGTCGTCGGCCATCCCCCTTTAAAAATGTCCCCGTAAGTCTAATTAGTGGAAACGATTTCGACCCTTAACATTTATTATTTCGTCCAGCGAACTTATCCATAATTTCTTGTTCGTACCCGAAATCTTATTTCGTAATGTACGTGTGTCTAAAATACTCCCTTACCTAAATAACGTGTTAGAAGTTTAACGTTATATCCGAAAGCGGGGCTTTAATCTGGAGAGGAGTTTCACCGGTAGGACCGACTTTATTAGAAATTATTATTAAATGAAAGCGTGCAACCGGTTAATTCATAATAAATATCTTATCTTGAGTTTCTTTTATTTTACCTGGACTCCCAGCTGATGGTTGCAGGAGCACAGGGACAACAGCCATTGCTAATGCAAGCAGGGCTAGCACAACAGTTGCAGGTGGGAAAGGTATGTAAATTGATCAATTTAAATAATTTGAAACTTTTTCTATGCATTTTAATTAAGTTTATTAATGTTTTATTCTGACTAATAATTTTATTTATTTTATTTAATGGAAAAGGTATAAAACAGTATTAAAATAGAAATGGTGTCACCCATGATAAAACTGCAGATTTGTATTTAAAGTTTATTCTCTCATCAATATTTACTTCTTGTGGGATTCAAACTGTTTCTGTAATTTTCTGAAACTGTTAAGTTTCTTAATACCCTTATGGAATTTGAAATATGTTTACCCACTTTTGATATACCTTTATACTTAGATTACATACTGTGTAATCTTTTTTTTTTTTTATCATTTCAAATCAGTAATAAATAAAAAAGTTCACCTCCTGACCCTTTGTCATTTATAGGCTAAACTAAATAAAAAACAAAATTTGTACTTGTGTTCTAAAGTGCAGTTGTGATAATAAAATTTAAGATTTTGGTACAGATGCAACTCTGATTGAGGTGGTTGGAACTTATCAGAGTTGTAGACGGTGCTCTTAAAAGTTACCCGTAGGTGTTGTTTGTTCTCTGCACAAATTTTAATTTCTTCTTGTGTTTTTTGACGGTCAGAAGTTGTTAAAATGGTCCCCCAAAAGCTATTTTTAGATTTCTAACTGTGGTGAAATGTGAATCGATAAACTTTCCCCTTTGAGGTTCCCAACCAAATTATCACATTAATTTTGAGGAGGACACACTATACCCACCAGTGACTGTCATACACATGCATATTAAAAAAAATGAAACAAATAGAGGACACAATCTTGTGAACTTTGTAGCCATACTTTATCTATTATATATAGTAATTATTTGTTTAGGCTTTTTCAAATACTTTTATTCATTATTACAAATAAAAAAAAAACCTAATGAGCATTAAATATTTAAATTCAAAATTTATATATATATATACAATATGGAATATGAAAATCTACAGTAATAATTTACAGGGATTATGAAGTTTTTAACTTACCAGAATACAAATAAAATTCTATTTGACAGATTAGTTTTATTTCAAAATGTTAATTATCATCTTGTGATAAAAAAATTATTTAAAAAGTTTTTTAGTTTAAAATTCTATTTAAATTGTTTAAAATTTTAAATATAAAAATCAGAGCTTAATTATAATTAGTTACTAATTTACAAGACATAATTAATACTTTATCTAAAATGAAGAAATTGTTATTAAGTTTGAAAATCATTTTAATAAATATAATGATTCCAGAAACAATTTGTTTATAATGAATTTATTATGTTTTCAAGTATATTCTCATAATTCAGTAAAATTCAAATGTAATTAATTTTTCTTGGAGGTAAAACATAACTCTTAAGTAATATATTTGTTTTCATATCTAGAAAGCATGTTTTAAAGAGTATATATGTTATTTGTTAATTATTTATAATAGCAATGGTTATGATAACTTCCACTCATATAAATTTTTACGTAAAGTCAACAAATAATTTGCATGAAAGATATGTTTTTCCAATAATAATACTTAAATACCAAACTAAGTCAAAAATTTTCCCACATCCAATAAATATCATGTGTGCAATGATTCTGTTAGCTCAATTACATTAGTCTATTTGTATCATCATTTGTCATTTTTATCTACAAATATAAGCTTTATGAACAGGATGTTTGTTTAACATGTACTTTTGAATGTAAATATAAATATATACTTTACATAATTACAGGTATGCTATTTTCTATTTCCATTTTCTGATAGTTTCATCAATATTAACATTCTCACTTATTACATAAATATTTAAAATTCTCAATTTTCAACCATTCATGCATAAAATATCAATAAAATTTTTTTATATCTTCAATTTTTAAACGAACCATTCTCCATCTTGCGTTTTGATAATTCACATCCTGTCATTCTTAACATATTGATAATTATAATTTTAAATATATACATTGATATAGTATTGATCTATAAATTTTACTTGTTCCTCTGACAAATAGCATTTTTTTCTTTTTTCCTTCTTTTTCTCTGGACTACTGTAATGTAAAACAACCTTTAATTTATAATATTTCTTTTTTATAGAAAAAAACTGCATCTTATACACCAGAAAATATGGTAAGTTTAAATTTTCCCATAATTTCTTCCTTATGAGTATATGTAATAATAATTAAGAAAAAATATTTAAAGGTTAACATATAAAATATAATCTCTCTATTGAGTTCAGTATTGAGAGAAAATATAAATTGGAGTTATTAATATTATAATAATTATTATTATTTAAGAAGAAAGATTTCTTCTAATATTTTGATAATTTTTTTATAATAATTATGAAAAAGAAACTATAATTTGCAATTAATATTTATTTGAGTTTTGTATTAATTTTTTGCTTTATGTAATTACCAGTATTTTTACACAATCAGTATAAATTTTCTTTTGTGTAGCCAATTAAGAGAACAGAATATCGATTTACATTGATGATACATTAATCTAATGAATATTGGTCTCAAATATCATTTAAGATTGAATTTAAAATATTGAATATAGAATCAAGTTAAATATTTTCTAATAAATTGTGTAAATTAAAATGAATAAAATTTATTATTTGTATTCTTCTTAGAAAATAAAAATTAATATTTGCTATTAATACTTAAAATAATTAGATGCATATGCAATATGAAAGATTTATTTGATTGAATAATTTAATTAGTTTCTTTTCTGAAGTTAATTTCATTTTCAATAATTTTGAACTTTATAAACTTGTTTGTTTGTTTGTTGTTGTTTAAACAACAACAAGCAAAAGCAAATAGAAAATAATCTAAAATATTTATTAATTCAACATTTTCTTAAATTAGAAAATAAAATTATTATTTGTTTTTGTTTATGAATATATAAAATTTCATTTGAAAGTGTATCAATTGTATTCATTTGCAAAAGTAAATTGCCAATTTGTCAGAATCATTTCATTTACATATTGCAAGAAAATTCTTAACAAATCTTATTAATACTCTAATTTTTCATTCTGTAAAACTATCAGGTTAAATTGCTAAAATTATTTCTGACAGCTGTAGTTATTTTAAATCAAAACTTTTTATATATAAATTTTTGTTTTATTTTACAACATTTTATATTCAACAATAAAAAAAGACTCATGTTGAGAATTATGACTTTTTTTTTTTTTGTTTGAGATGAATTTACTTCAAAAAGATGTATTCCNATTGATATTTTAGGACTAAAGAAATATAAGTTATAAAGGGGGGAAAGAAAAACTAAGTTAAAAAATCTACGATAAAAGGTTTGCCGGAGAAACTGAACTTTCGGAAAGGGAAGCTCCACTAAAAAACTGCAAGTAGATAAAAAGAAAAGGAGTAATACAGTTACCGGTTTAAATTTCCGGATTGACATTTTCCTTCTCTCTGGTGGATCTTTGTTACAAATTGTGACCTGTTTCGTGATGCGTCCAAATCGAGGTGACGCGAGATTCCTCTCCAAAAACGTGACGCTTCCCTTGTTTTTATACTTTTGCTTTTTTCTTTTTGTTTTTTTATTTCTTTCCTCTCTTCTTTCTTAGCTACAGAAGATATTGCGCATCATTCGGCTAAAAGTCTTCGCGTCAGATAAAAACTGTAAGATCCAGTTCGCAGATTTTTCGGGCAGAACTCTGCAAATCAATCACTCTTAAAAACTGTATCGTTGGAAGAACCGGAGGGGAAGAAAAAAAAAGAAGACACGAAACTTTTATTTCGGAATTACTCGATTAGAAAATTCTTAATAGAGGCAGCCAGAAACGAGTTCATTCTCTTGTGAAAAGGAGTATCAATTAAATTAATTGGAGTTAAAATGCGCTTCTCAATAGATGTAATAACTGTAAAGGAATTAGTCGGTTTGAAAATTGCAAATGTCGGCACCGGTAACCGAATTACGCTTCTCGTAAAATTCCTTTTTTTTTTTTTATTATTTTTAGTGCCTTTTAGGAAGCCGAATTGGACTAAGTAACCCGGAGAGTTCTACTCTTTTTGGAAAATTACAGAAAGCAAATATTGACCGGACTTAAATTCGGAAAATGTTGGCGGTCACCTTTTATTTATTATCATCAGTCTAAGTGCGGCACCTGTAAAAATCTCATTTCCGATAGATGGATTAGGAGAAGGAAGAGAACCGAAGAGCGATCAATTGATAGAGAAGCAATTTTAAAACTTATATTCTTTCTAGAAGAAAAATAATAAAATGTCTAGACGGATCCGTAACGAATGAAGAAAAATAAAATTCTAGTTACACGCTTCCACCTTTCTCTTCTCTTAATTTATTTGCGATGTCTCGTGGGCTCTTTAAAGTGTATTAAAATCTCCCGGAAACGTGGAAAACTCGACGTCCATCGGAAAAAAAGAAAGAAGATTCGAACTTCTTATAGCTTTTGCAAGGGAAGAATTGGTGTTGCCGCCTCTAATGGCGGGCCGTATATTTTTAAACTTAATGTTTTGACACGTCGTCAAAAAAGTAAATGACGACGTTTAAGGTTTAACATTCAACTTACAAATGAAAAATTAAATTCCGTTTGTATCATTGGCAAGGAGCCAGGCCTTTACCTCCAAATCTCCTTCGTTTCTTCGACTATTCGTCGTTTTAAAATCGCGATCGGATCAAAATTAGTTTCGACGGAGAAAACTACAATTGAAGAGTGTAGATTACGTTGTATATTTTTTCCCTCTCCCCTCTCTCTCCTTCAAATTCATTTTTTTTTTTTCCGAAATTTCCAAACAGAAATTTTATTAAATCCGCCGGAGAATCGCAACGTGTTTAGAAATTCTTCTTCGGAATGAAGTTGTGAATTTTTGTTGTTAAAACGCGGCAGCGTTACATCGAAACAGTTTTTTTTTTCATGTATATTTTCTCGATTTGTTTTTTATTTGGAATAGGGCCAAAGACGTTATTTAGAGATATTAGTTAATTACTAGTCTACGGAAAAGAAAAAAAAACAGCTCGAATTTCATTTCCTGGTAGGTGAAATCCTGTTATTGTGAAACGAAAAAAAAAAAAAAAAGTGAAAAATATCTTAATTTATAATAGCGCCCCATTTTTTTTAATTATAAGATACAAATTAAGATATATTAAACTGAATTTTGATGCATTTTTTTAAAATGGAAATTCGAAAGTTTCTCTTAGAGAATTTACAAAGATAACAATTTGTTAGGAAATAGTTTAACGAAAATAAAAGAAAAAAAAATACGAGGGGGAAGTTATATTACTAAGATGTGTAGAAATGCTGTCGTTAATCGAAAAAACGGTTGAAGAGGAGTATTTAAAAATTTAAGTTTTATGTAGCACGGTATCGTCTCTCTAATCAGCCACCGGTCCTTTTGTAAAGTGCAATTGGAAAGATTGCTCCTATATGAATGAGGGTTACGAGAAATATATTTACAAATGAAAATATCCGACCGAAAAACAAAAACAATAAAAAAAAAAAGGAATCTTAATTATATATATATTGCTGGTTTCTCTTCAAATTCGCTTTATGCCACTCCATTTTTTTAAAATTCCGGAAAATCTGGAAATGGAAACCTGTTTTACGCATGGAAATTCATTTTGTAATTAAACGAAAATAATGAAAATTAACTCCATTCGACTGCGACGGAATAAATTTGTTTTAACTCAACTTTTTTTTTCCTAACACAATTAACGCTAGTTAATTACAAAATGTATAATGTGATGTGTTAGAGTGCAGTTTTTACTTTCGAAACCCGCGATCGTTGCGGTCTGGCTTCCCGTTAATTCTAGAATCAACGTTTCTAGTTTTCTCTTTTACATTTACTTTCGAATTAAAACTACGGAATTAACCATTTAATTATTTTTATATTTTGAAATAATAATTATTTATCCCTTCCGAGCGTTTGCCATCGTTTACTCGAACTCGCCTAGAGTCTAAGGCTTTGCCTACGTTAATTTCTTTGCGGATGGTTCGTCCTGGTGGTATATTTCGCGTGCGATTAAAGATCAGAAAATCGATTTCTATTAAAATAAAGTTTGCATAAAATATTACGTCGAAATACGTTGTAAATAATGTATTGAATCGTGACCGATTTTTCGCATACGTTATTAAAAATATATTAAAAAAAAAAAAAAAAACTTGTTCGGTTCGAGTCGTAATCATCCTCGTGGTCGTCGGCCATCCCCCTTTAAAAATGTCCCCGTAAGTCTAATTAGTGGAAACGATTTCGACCCTTAACATTTATTATTTCGTCCAGCGAACTTATCCATAATTTCTTGTTCGTACCCGAAATCTTATTTCGTAATGTACGTGTGTCTAAAATACTCCCTTACCTAAATAACGTGTTAGAAGTTTAACGTTATATCCGAAAGCGGGGCTTTAATCTGGAGAGGAGTTTCACCGGTAGGACCGACTTTATTAGAAATTATTATTAAATGAAAGCGTGCAACCGGTTAATTCATAATAAATATCTTATCTTGAGTTTCTTTTATTTTACCTGGACTCCCAGCTGATGGTTGCAGGAGCACAGGGACAACAGCCATTGCTAATGCAAGCAGGGCTAGCACAACAGTTGCAGGTGGGAAAGGTATGTAAATTGATCAATTTAAATAATTTGAAACTTTTTCTATGCATTTTAATTAAGTTTATTAATGTTTTATTCTGACTAATAATTTTATTTATTTTATTTAATGGAAAAGGTATAAAACAGTATTAAAATAGAAATGGTGTCACCCATGATAAAACTGCAGATTTGTATTTAAAGTTTATTCTCTCATCAATATTTACTTCTTGTGGGATTCAAACTGTTTCTGTAATTTTCTGAAACTGTTAAGTTTCTTAATACCCTTATGGAATTTGAAATATGTTTACCCACTTTTGATATACCTTTATACTTAGATTACATACTGTGTAATCTTTTTTTTTTTTTATCATTTCAAATCAGTAATAAATAAAAAAGTTCACCTCCTGACCCTTTGTCATTTATAGGCTAAACTAAATAAAAAACAAAATTTGTACTTGTGTTCTAAAGTGCAGTTGTGATAATAAAATTTAAGATTTTGGTACAGATGCAACTCTGATTGAGGTGGTTGGAACTTATCAGAGTTGTAGACGGTGCTCTTAAAAGTTACCCGTAGGTGTTGTTTGTTCTCTGCACAAATTTTAATTTCTTCTTGTGTTTTTTGACGGTCAGAAGTTGTTAAAATGGTCCCCCAAAAGCTATTTTTAGATTTCTAACTGTGGTGAAATGTGAATCGATAAACTTTCCCCTTTGAGGTTCCCAACCAAATTATCACATTAATTTTGAGGAGGACACACTATACCCACCAGTGACTGTCATACACATGCATATTAAAAAAAATGAAACAAATAGAGGACACAATCTTGTGAACTTTGTAGCCATACTTTATCTATTATATATAGTAATTATTTGTTTAGGCTTTTTCAAATACTTTTATTCATTATTACAAATAAAAAAAAAACCTAATGAGCATTAAATATTTAAATTCAAAATTTATATATATATATACAATATGGAATATGAAAATCTACAGTAATAATTTACAGGGATTATGAAGTTTTTAACTTACCAGAATACAAATAAAATTCTATTTGACAGATTAGTTTTATTTCAAAATGTTAATTATCATCTTGTGATAAAAAAATTATTTAAAAAGTTTTTTAGTTTAAAATTCTATTTAAATTGTTTAAAATTTTAAATATAAAAATCAGAGCTTAATTATAATTAGTTACTAATTTACAAGACATAATTAATACTTTATCTAAAATGAAGAAATTGTTATTAAGTTTGAAAATCATTTTAATAAATATAATGATTCCAGAAACAATTTGTTTATAATGAATTTATTATGTTTTCAAGTATATTCTCATAATTCAGTAAAATTCAAATGTAATTAATTTTTCTTGGAGGTAAAACATAACTCTTAAGTAATATATTTGTTTTCATATCTAGAAAGCATGTTTTAAAGAGTATATATGTTATTTGTTAATTATTTATAATAGCAATGGTTATGATAACTTCCACTCATATAAATTTTTACGTAAAGTCAACAAATAATTTGCATGAAAGATATGTTTTTCCAATAATAATACTTAAATACCAAACTAAGTCAAAAATTTTCCCACATCCAATAAATATCATGTGTGCAATGATTCTGTTAGCTCAATTACATTAGTCTATTTGTATCATCATTTGTCATTTTTATCTACAAATATAAGCTTTATGAACAGGATGTTTGTTTAACATGTACTTTTGAATGTAAATATAAATATATACTTTACATAATTACAGGTATGCTATTTTCTATTTCCATTTTCTGATAGTTTCATCAATATTAACATTCTCACTTNTTATTTTTGTATTTTCTTGGATTTTTTGTTCACTTTTATTTGCTGATTTCTTAATGATAATAAAAAGTTGGCTTCTTGAAATTAACAGTAATTTATTTTCATAACTTATTAAGAGAGAGTTTGAATTTGTGTGTTGATAATTCTTAATTTTCTGAATACAAAATTAACCTGTTCTCTTTTAAAAAAAAATCAAGTTTTTAATGAGCAAAATTATTTTTGTAATGCTCTTTCTTTTCTCTTTCTTTTTTTATTTAATAAAATTTTTTAAATGGAAGTATTCAAGTTGCTAAAAAAACACTTTGAAAGAATTTATTTACTTAAGAATGGTTTTAATTGCTTAATATTTTTGATTTAATTAATGAAGTTGAGATTAAGCTTTATTCGAAATTATATATCAATTTACCTTTTTCCTGTACTGATGTGTAGATTAGTTTTTAAATTTTTTGAGTTGACAACCATATTATTTTATCTCCTGGATTATTTAATAAATAATATTTAAATACATAAAAACATTAAAATTAATTATAATATAATATTTGAGGATTACAATTTTCTTTTGAGTGTTAATTCTTTTAATATTTCATAAATCATTTCTGAATAATTTATATAATATAAATACAATTATAAAATGAATTTTAAAATTTTCTAAATATTAAAATACTATTTATTTATTTAAACAATCATTTTTGATTTTTAAAGACATTTTTATATTATAAATTATTATTTGAGGAGTCCTTACTTGTCAGTCAAACAGCATACCTGTATCAGTCATTAGAATATGCATAAAATTCAAATATTTATTTCTAAATAATGTAAAAACGTTTAAGATTTGTATGTACTGTGTACATACCAAAGCTAATATAAACTGAAATTAATTGATATTTTGATTATTTTCTACATAAGTATTAGTCAAAATACTTTGCTTGAATTAAAAGTTTGATACAAAAATTTAGATTGATGTCTTGTACTTGTTGGTAACTTCAGAACAAATAGATTCTAATTACTTACCTTTTGAACACTTCAAAAGGCATTTTCTCCAAATTTTATTTGTGTAAAAATTAAATTTTTGATAAGAAACTTCAAGAATGAAGTAATTAGAATAAGCAATCACTCAGTTTATAGAGTTTTTGTCTTTGTTTGAAATTAGAGTGTTTTTTTGATGACTATAAAGAAATTTATTCAAAAACATATTTCAGGAGATTTATTAAATAAATAACAACTAAATACAGTTAATAATTATATTTTATTTATATTAATATCTAAATATTTATCTTTCAAAATCATATACGTTAAACATAATTGTGGTATTAGATTTTCAATAAATTTTACATTTTTCGATAGTTACAAAATATTTCGATATGACTCAGTTTTTATTCTAAATGTAGTTCAAAGTTCAAATTCAGTGGCAGATCTAGCTAAATGCAGGTAGTGCAGTGTCCTGAAGCCTGGGAATTTGAGTTCAGTAATTTAGTAAACAAAGAAAATAAAAATTTTATAGAGTTCTATATATAAACTTCATGCCAGTGCCGAAGCTCTAATTATTTCATGGAGCCTACTCTTGCTATAGGGAGCAAGGATCACATGAATCACTGTAAAAATGCTGAACAAGTATAATAAAAAAGGTTACTTTCAGTGATGATATTTATAAATTATTATATAATATTTTTGAAATCATTTGGAAATATATGTTCATAATTAAATTCATTTAATTATTATACATTAGTTGATTATGTTGATGATATATCAAACTAATAAAATTATCAATTAGAGTGCCAAACTAACTACTAGTAAAGTATTCTAAAAATATTGCATAAATTGGTAAATTGAGTTATGTAACATCAGTTATTATTTAAAAGTCTATTGTTATTGAGTATCCTCTTTTATCAACCATATGCTAGATACATAGTTAGATTTTGAGTTCATAATAAATTAAATAACTTTAGTTATAAAATCTAAATTTATATTGAAAGCAATAGGTTATGACGCTAATTCAAAATTCATGCTACTATAAAATATTTCAAAAGAATTTTAAAACAGAATATAGGTATTAAAAAAAATTTGAATTATATTTTAGCAGTATTGAATCATAAAAACTTTTTGGAAAATAGAGAGTGTTTTCTTATAATAATAAATTAGTAATAATTGAGATAGTTTTGATTTGTGCATATATTTTTATAATTACATCAGGTACATTAAGCAAAAATTACTTATATAAAATTATAAATGCTTTAATCTAAATAATACATATATCAGTCTGTTTGTAGTTTCCTTAACAATTTTGCTGTTGCTATTGGAAAAAAAAAAAGTTGCACCAATTACACCAATTTTTTTTTTCATAAAAAAAAAGAATTACCATATTTACTTGGATATAAGACGATCTCGCATATAGGAAGAGGTGTCACTTTAAAGATCAAAATAAAGAAAATCAGATTTATTAATACAATTCTAATTTTACTTCATTTAATCACAAATAAAATATCAAATGAACACAAATGCACACATTGTCCCGGAAAAATTACTGGCATTTAAACTTCAAGTAAAAATCTTGTAAAATCGACAACATAATTTGTTCATGTAAAGCTGGACAATTATTGGGGAACCTTTTTTGCCAATTCTTAGCAGTTGAATTCACTCTTCATCAATTACATTTATGAGTTTCTCCAAATTCTGATTTCCAAATAATCATCTGTTTTTACATGGGAATGAAATAAAACTTATATCGAGCTCCCATGTAATTTTGGAATTCAATTCAAATCCAAAAAAATTTTCCTGTTGCTATTCATCTTTACTCCTGATAATACACAAGAAAGATTTAAACGACCCAGATAAAATACTTTTGTTTTTAAACACCAGAAGGTGAGAATCCAGTAAAAAATGCAAATACACAGTTTACAAAAATTATTGCAAAAATGAAATGAATTCCTCACTCACACATATCGGATGACCTATGTTATTGAAGTAGTGAAAAATGAATAAAAACCTTGTCTTATATGCTCGTAAATATGGTAGTATAGTTGTTATACACAAATTAAGAATAAAAAATTTTTTCTTTTCAAGCAATCTTTATAGAATTATATGTAATGAAGCAAAATTGAGTCACTTGAGGACATAAATGATGAACCATTATAATATATCTAGTGAAAGTAAGAAACCAAGAAATAAAATATAATCTCTAAAATGTTTCTTACACTTCCAGAAAATAGTAAATTACATTCAAAAAATAACACAAATGCAATTTACCAAAAACTTTCAGCATCCAAATGACACAAAATTGTGTTGTCATATTGTAATGAAGGTCACACAAAACAAAAGTATTGTAGTCTGCAGTGAAAGTGTTAAAAGATAGTTAGTATAACAAATCATTCTCTATAAACCTTAATTAATAATAATCTGTTGCATTCAGATGTTGTTTATAGATCTATACTTTTCTTCTTTGGAAAAGATTAACTTTAGAAATTTGACTTAATACAAAACATTTAAGCTTTATACTGAATGAATGAATTCTTAAATTACACCAAATTCTAACTTTAATGACACACTAATATTATAGCAGATTTTATTTTTGTATTTTCTTGGATTTTTTGTTCACTTTTATTTGCTGATTTCTTAATGATAATAAAAAGTTGGCTTCTTGAAATTAACAGTAATTTATTTTCATAACTTATTAAGAGAGAGTTTGAATTTGTGTGTTGATAATTCTTAATTTTCTGAATACAAAATTAACCTGTTCTCTTTTTAAAAAAAATCAAGTTTTTAATGAGCAAAATTATTTTTGTAATGCTCTTTCTTTTCTCTTTCTTTNATATATATATATATATATATTGTTAAATAAATTGATGTATTTATTATCTTAAAAAGAATTAATTTAGTTTCCTGTATTTAACTGGAAATATGAAATTTTTTATACCAAATGTATACTTGTTCTAAATACTATGTAGATTGAATAGAAAACTAACAGCATAATTGATAGTGAGATATGTTTATTGTAATTATATAATTGAGGATTAAAATATAAATTTGATAAGCATATTAATTTATATTGCATTGTATTATAAGCATATAATTTATACAGCTTTAAGAAATATTTAAAATATAAATTTATTAAAAATTTCACATTTATCGTTAATCTTGTTTAGAAAACTTAATCATAGGTGATTAGAATGAAAATAAAATTGATTCCTGGTGACTATTTCTGGTGAATTATTGGAGAACAATCTTAATCGTTTAGTATGATGTAATAAATTCTTTGTGAAAAGTTGTAATTTTTTTATATAATATTGTTTTGCAAAGACTTTAGTTTTAGTAAATAAACAAATTTTTTTTTATAGCAGCAAAGCATATAGAGATCTTAGAATGTATCAAGATGAATCTTTTTCAGAAATGGAGCAAATAAACTTTCTCAACCAATATAAACTGAATTGGATTTACAAACTTACATTTTCGAGTTATTGAGAATGTTGTAACAATAACATCAACAATTCATATTGTTTGATAGAGAAATGATATAGAATTCAGTATATAACAAACTCCTTTTTTTTTCTTTTTTATTGCATTGTTGATCAAGATATAATCCTTTGATTATTTATAATAATATTAAAAATCACAGCTTCCGAGAAAGTCCATGTTACTTCTTAATGTGCATTATTTGCCAAAACAATTTTTCACCTTTTAGTATTTTATAAAATACTAAACTAATTTCAAATGGGTTGCACATGGGTTACACAAAATAGAAAGAAAAATAGTTGATTTGTATTTGCAATATATTTTGCAAATATCATATTTTTTACTTTCTTAATCTCATATGTATAAAATTAAAAAATAATNACTATAAAGAAATTTATTCAAAAACATATTTCAGGAGATTTATTAAATAAATAACAACTAAATACAGTTAATAATTATATTTTATTTATATTAATATCTAAATATTTATCTTTCAAAATCATATACGTTAAACATAATTGTGGTATTAGATTTTCAATAAATTTTACATTTTTCGATAGTTACAAAATATTTCGATATGACTCAGTTTTTATTCTAAATGTAGTTCAAAGTTCAAATTCAGTGGCAGATCTAGCTAAATGCAGGTAGTGCAGTGTCCTGAAGCCTGGGAATTTGAGTTCAGTAATTTAGTAAACAAAGAAAATAAAAATTTTATAGAGTTCTATATATAAACTTCATGCCAGTGCCGAAGCTCTAATTATTTCATGGAGCCTACTCTTGCTATAGGGAGCAAGGATCACATGAATCACTGTAAAAATGCTGAACAAGTATAATAAAAAAGGTTACTTTCAGTGATGATATTTATAAATTATTATATAATATTTTTGAAATCATTTGGAAATATATGTTCATAATTAAATTCATTTAATTATTATACATTAGTTGATTATGTTGATGATATATCAAACTAATAAAATTATCAATTAGAGTGCCAAACTAACTACTAGTAAAGTATTCTAAAAATATTGCATAAATTGGTAAATTGAGTTATGTAACATCAGTTATTATTTAAAAGTCTATTGTTATTGAGTATCCTCTTTTATCAACCATATGCTAGATACATAGTTAGATTTTGAGTTCATAATAAATTAAATAACTTTAGTTATAAAATCTAAATTTATATTGAAAGCAATAGGTTATGACGCTAATTCAAAATTCATGCTACTATAAAATATTTCAAAAGAATTTTAAAACAGAATATAGGTATTAAAAAATATAAATTAATAAGAATTACATTGAATTCATATCAATGGCTATCCAGGAATTTGAGAATATAAGTGCTTGCTATTTGAGGTAGATTTGATAACACCAAGTCATGTACCCCCTGTCATTTTTTAGAAAATGTTATTCAATTATTTTAGAATTACTTTAGTCATCAAATCTTACCTAATTTAAGTCATGCAACTTGCATTATTAAATTTATTTTTGGTTTTAAAATAAGAAAATGTTGCTTTAGTATAAAGGAGGTACCGCAGAACCATAAGTACCCTCTTTGATTCATGTATAAATATAATAAAAAAATTAAATTAATTTTAAGATTTAAAAACGTTTATAATAAATTAATTTCAACTACTAAATTTTTATGTAAAAAAAGATAGTGATTAAAAGCCCGTTTGATATAACTGCCATTGTGATCTTTGTTGTTGTATAATTATGAATAATTAGATTTTTCAGGAGTAATATTTAGACATGAAAAAAATTATAGAAATGATATCCAAAATATTTTATATCTAATGAAAACAATAATAATTATCTAGAATATACTTTGATATTTATATCATTGTGAACGAATTTGTTCTTTAAAAATTCAAAAAATTAATAGTTTCACATGAAAAATTTCTTAGTAATTTACAGTCGCAGCTCTAGTGATATCACTATTATTTCTTTACATGAATTTTATGTTTTGTTTCATAAAAAGAAGAAATAAATAAATTTTTGTTTTTCTTAATAATTATGATTTCTAAAAAAAGATTTTAAAGACAATATCTTATATTATCAAAAGTATGAAATATTAGAGATTCAACAACAAGCCAGTAGAATTTTAGGATCTTGATAAATATGCAGTTTTTGAAATATTTGTAAATTTCTTCTTACTTTAACCCTGCCAATGACTCAGAACTTTTATTTATTTATATTGACATTCTTGATAGTAGATATATTAGTTAAATTAGCCAAATATTAAATTTGTTGTTAAAATCTGTTTTAATTTTCTCCTTTCATATATATTTTCAAACATGTTTGTAGAACGTTAAAACATGAAATTGTTTTAATATTTTGTTCTCTTAACATTTATATACTGGCATATATAAATCAGTATTGTAAATTTTAATGTTTTTACTAAGATAATTTGTAATTTTATCAAGCAAATATATCAAATTCTATAATCTAATTTCTTTAATAATCTTATATGCAATTTGAAGATGAAAAGATTCTTCAAGAGGCATGTTATTATCAAATACTTGCAATTTTATAAAAATCTGTTAGAATAATAAAATGCACTTAAATGGGTAACAATATAATGTTAGAAAACAAATATTGAAATTAGTTAATTATATTTCTTTACTAAAATAACTTACAAATATACAGTAGTGTAATAACATAAAAAGATATAACTAATTATTTATATGTTAATAATTTAATTTTGTGAATAGGCAGTTAACTATTACTTAATGTTCATTTTAATGACTTAATTTTGATAATTGATATAATAAATATATGTAGATTAATTATAATTCATCAATATAAAATTCCTCAACTGGTTTTATTTAATATTATTGTAGATTTCTTATCACAGATATGCAACAATTTTAAAAGCAATTGATAATTTTATTTGTTTTATAATAAAATTTAAAATCAATATAATAACATTCATAAATTTTTTCACAAAGATGATCCATATTAATTTAACAATTATTATTATTTTTTGATAAAAATAAAAGTTTAATCACTTCTTAAAAATAACAAATTAACTTTTCTTTGAAGATTCCAGTTACATCTGGTATTCCTGGTCTTCAACTTAGTCCACAAGATCTCCAACAGCTTCAACAACATCTGCAGCAGCATCAGCAAAATTTGCAGAGCATGCAGCAATTTGTATTTCTCCAGCCGGGCCAATTACCAGCAAATGTTCAAGCTCAGTTATTTCTCCAGAGTCAGGTATTTGTTTTTCTGTTTGCAAATTGCTATTTTTATTAAAACTGATTGAATGATTACTCAAAATAAAATGCATGATTTTATAGGGATTGTTGCAGCAGGGTTTGATGCAACAAAGTCTTCAAAATCTTCAGCTTCAGGCAAGCCAGTTACCTCAGGGAGTTCTTTCGACACAGGCTGCGGCTGCTGCCGCCACAGTTGCCGCTGCTGCTGCCGCCCAGCAACAGCTTCAGCAACTCCAGCAACAGCAGCAACAAAAACAAAAACAGCAACAACAACAACAACAAGCTCAGACACAATCACAGACACCATCACAACCACCTCCGCCATCTCAGTTACCACCACCATCCACACCTACACAAAAGGTTTGTTAATACTATATCTATTAATAAAAGTATATTTATTTAAAAAATTGTTTAAAAGAAAAATATTAATAATATTTATTTTACAATCTATCAAATTATCACAGAATGCGTGTTTTGTAAATGTTCATTAACAAAGAACAATAATTTTAAAAATTAACTTAAAACAATTAAAATTAATCTTTGAAAATAAAATAGTATTTTTTGACTTTGTAGAAAATTAGTTTATTATTATTTAAAANTTTAGTAAATAAACAAATTTTTTTTTATAGCAGCAAAGCATATAGAGATCTTAGAATGTATCAAGATGAATCTTTTTCAGAAATGGAGCAAATAAACTTTCTCAACCAATATAAACTGAATTGGATTTACAAACTTACATTTTCAAGTTATTGAGAATGTTGTAACAATAACATCAACAATTCATATTGTTTGATAGAGAAATGATATAGAATTCAGTATATAACAAACTCCTTTTTTTTTCTTTTTTATTGCATTGTTGATCAAGATATAATCCTTTGATTATTTATAATAATATTAAAAATCACAGCTTCCGAGAAAGTCCATGTTACTTCTTAATGTGCATTATTTGCCAAAACAATTTTTCACCTTTTAGTATTTTATAAAATACTAAACTAATTTCAAATGGGTTGCACATGGGTTACACAAAATAGAAAGAAAAATAGTTGATTTGTATTTGCAATATATTTTGCAAATATCATATTTTTTACTTTCTTAATCTCATATGTATAAAATTAAAAAATAATAATAAATTAGTTTGAAATTATAGGATGTTTTTTGAAGTCTAACTAAACACTTTTCTTGAACAACAGCAAAACTTGAACTTGATACTTTTCATACTTTGTAAATCCATATTTAATATAATAATAACAATGTTATATATAAATTATCAAAATACTTTGATATAAAAATTGAAAAATAATATTTACTCTTAATATAATACTAGATGATAATATAATATATACTGTATTATAAAATAAGAATATTGTGAATAAAGTTCAATTTGAAAATATAAAATGTTTTATATAAGAAGAATTTCTTATGGAAACATGGTAAAAGTAATATAAATGAATTTGAATTATATTTTAGCAGTATTGAATCATAAAAACTTTTTGGAAAATAGAGAGTGTTTTCTTATAATAATAAATTAGTAATAATTGAGATAGTTTTGATTTGTGCATATATTTTTATAATTACATCAGGTACATTAAGCAAAAATTACTTATATAAAATTATAAATGCTTTAATCTAAATAATACATATATCAGTCTGTTTGTAGTTTCCTTAACAATTTTGCTGTTGCTATTGGAAAAAAAAAAAGTTGCACCAATTACACCAATTTTTTTTTTCATAAAAAAAAAGAATTACCATATTTACTTGGATATAAGACGATCTCGCATATAGGAAGAGGTGTCACTTTAAAGATCAAAATAAAGAAAATCAGATTTATTAATACAATTCTAATTTTACTTCATTTAATCACAAATAAAATATCAAATGAACACAAATGCACACATTGTCCCGGAAAAATTACTGGCATTTAAACTTCAAGTAAAAATCTTGTAAAATCGACAACATAATTTGTTCATGTAAAGCTGGACAATTATTGGGGAACCTTTTTTGCCAATTCTTAGCAGTTGAATTCACTCTTCATCAATTACATTTATGAGTTTCTCCAAATTCTGATTTCCAAATAATCATCTGTTTTTACATGGGAATGAAATAAAACTTATATCGAGCTCCCATGTAATTTTGGAATTCAATTCAAATCCAAAAAAATTTTCCTGTTGCTATTCATCTTTACTCCTGATAATACACAAGAAAGATTTAAACGACCCAGATAAAATACTTTTGTTTTTAAACACCAGAAGGTGAGAATCCAGTAAAAAATGCAAATACACAGTTTACAAAAATTATTGCAAAAATGAAATGAATTCCTCACTCACACATATCGGATGACCTATGTTATTGAAGTAGTGAAAAATGAATAAAAACCTTGTCTTATATGCTCGTAAATATGGTAGTATAGTTGTTATACACAAATTAAGAATAAAAAATTTTTTCTTTTCAAGCAATCTTTATAGAATTATATGTAATGAAGCAAAATTGAGTCACTTGAGGACATAAATGATGAACCATTATAATATATCTAGTGAAAGTAAGAAACCAAGAAATAAAATATAATCTCTAAAATGTTTCTTACACTTCCAGAAAATAGTAAATTACATTCAAAAAATAACACAAATGCAATTTACCAAAAACTTTCAGCATCCAAATGACACAAAATTGTGTTGTCATATTGTAATGAAGGTCACACAAAACAAAAGTATTGTAGTCTGCAGTGAAAGTGTTAAAAGATAGTTAGTATAACAAATCATTCTCTATAAACCTTAATTAATAATAATCTGTTGCATTCAGATGTTGTTTATAGATCTATACTTTTCTTCTTTGGAAAAGATTAACTTTAGAAATTTGACTTAATACAAAACATTTAAGCTTTATACTGAATGAATGAATTCTTAAATTACACCAAATTCTAACTTTAATGACACACTAATATTATAGCAGATTTTATTTTTGTATTTTCTTGGATTTTTTGTTCACTTTTATTTGCTGATTTCTTAATGATAATAAAAAGTTGGCTTCTTGAAATTAACAGTAATTTATTTTCATAACTTATTAAGAGAGAGTTTGAATTTGTGTGTTGATAATTCTTAATTTTCTGAATACAAAATTAACCTGTTCTCTTTTAAAAAAAAATCAAGTTTTTAATGAGCAAAATTATTTTTGTAATGCTCTTTCTTTTCTCTTTCTTTTTTTATTTAATAAAATTTTTTAAATGGAAGTATTCAAGTTGCTAAAAAAACACTTTGAAAGAATTTATTTACTTAAGAATGGTTTTAATTGCTTAATATTTTTGATTTAATTAATGAAGTTGAGATTAAGCTTTATTCGAAATTATATATCAATTTACCTTTTTCCTGTACTGATGTGTAGATTAGTTTTTAAATTTTTTGAGTTGACAACCATATTATTTTATCTCCTGGATTATTTAATAAATAATATTTAAATACATAAAAACATTAAAATTAATTATAATATAATATTTGAGGATTACAATTTTCTTTTGAGTGTTAATTCTTTTAATATTTCATAAATCATTTCTGAATAATTTATATAATATAAATACAATTATAAAATGAATTTTAAAATTTTCTAAATATTAAAATACTATTTATTTATTTAAACAATCATTTTTGATTTTTAAAGACATTTTTATATTATAAATTATTATTTGAGGAGTCCTTACTTGTCAGTCAAACAGCATACCTGTATCAGTCATTAGAATATGCATAAAATTCAAATATTTATTTCTAAATAATGTAAAAACGTTTAAGATTTGTATGTACTGTGTACATACCAAAGCTAATATAAACTGAAATTAATTGATATTTTGATTATTTTCTACATAAGTATTAGTCAAAATACTTTGCTTGAATTAAAAGTTTGATACAAAAATTTAGATTGATGTCTTGTACTTGTTGGTAACTTCAGAACAAATAGATTCTAATTACTTACCTTTTGAACACTTCAAAAGGCATTTTCTCCAAATTTTATTTGTGTAAAAATTAAATTTTTGATAAGAAACTTCAAGAATGAAGTAATTAGAATAAGCAATCACTCAGTTTATAGAGTTTTTGTCTTTGTTTGAAATTAGAGTGTTTTTTTGATGACTATAAAGAAATTTATTCAAAAACATATTTCAGGAGATTTATTAAATAAATAACAACTAAATACAGTTAATAATTATATTTTATTTATATTAATATCTAAATATTTATCTTTCAAAATCATATACGTTAAACATAATTGTGGTATTAGATTTTCAATAAATTTTACATTTTTCGATAGTTACAAAATATTTCGATATGACTCAGTTTTTATTCTAAATGTAGTTCAAAGTTCAAATTCAGTGGCAGATCTAGCTAAATGCAGGTAGTGCAGTGTCCTGAAGCCTGGGAATTTGAGTTCAGTAATTTAGTAAACAAAGAAAATAAAAATTTTATAGAGTTCTATATATAAACTTCATGCCAGTGCCGAAGCTCTAATTATTTCATGGAGCCTACTCTTGCTATAGGGAGCAAGGATCACATGAATCACTGTAAAAATGCTGAACAAGTATAATAAAAAAGGTTACTTTCAGTGATGATATTTATAAATTATTATATAATATTTTTGAAATCATTTGGAAATATATGTTCATAATTAAATTCATTTAATTATTATACATTAGTTGATTATGTTGATGATATATCAAACTAATAAAATTATCAATTAGAGTGCCAAACTAACTACTAGTAAAGTATTCTAAAAATATTGCATAAATTGGTAAATTGAGTTATGTAACATCAGTTATTATTTAAAAGTCTATTGTTATTGAGTATCCTCTTTTATCAACCATATGCTAGATACATAGTTAGATTTTGAGTTCATAATAAATTAAATAACTTTAGTTATAAAATCTAAATTTATATTGAAAGCAATAGGTTATGACGCTAATTCAAAATTCATGCTACTATAAAATATTTCAAAAGAATTTTAAAACAGAATATAGGTATTAAAAAATATANTCTTATCTCAAAGAAATTTAAATAAAGAATCAGTTTCTAATATATTTTATCTCATTAAATATATTTAAAAAGCATAGATTTTAAGTGTTGGAATGTATGGAATTTACACAAAAATACAAAACACCAAAGTTAATTATATATGTCATAATGTATATCAGTTTATATAAAGTGTTGAAATAAGTCTAAGATGAGCTAAAAATTGCCATTTAAATTCTTGGTAATCATTCAAAATGAAAAATTTTATAAGTTTGAAATTGGAATATTTTCAGTAATCAATCTCACACCTTTTTCATGTCTTATAGCAATACTTTATTAAAAAAAACTTAGCAGCTATATTGGCTTTGAATGACA